CTTTGACTTTCAATCCTCCTGCCTCAGCCTCCTCAGCCTCTGGGATTCCAGGTGTGCACCACCACTCCCAGCTCTGATTCTTTCTTGATAGGGAGAAAAACTGTAATAATCATAGCCTTGCAGAGCAAAAGGAACCCTGATTGGGTTTCCACAGCTTATGTAACTAATTTCAAGTACTGCTGTATCTAATGCTAAAATATATTTCCCCTTCTACTATAAAGTTGTTACATTGTGAAGGGATAGCTAGAGAGCTCTGTGTCTCTGTGGGTGGGTGGGGGGTAACAATGGGAAGTGGAGGGCAGGGACGCCTCTTGCTGTGTCCCCTTATATTCCTGGTCCTGCCATTAACCCTGTTAGGCAGGGCCACCTACTTGGCTCTTATATTGACAGCAGCCTTCACATGTGCTCCAAAAGTTGACATGCGAGTCTTAGTTCCTTTTCTTGGATCTTTGTAGCATTGCAAAGACTGGGACGTTGTGGGACCAGTGGGGATGGCCAAATGTCCCATCTGGCTGGAATGACAGTAACTCCCACATCCCCTTTTTTTCTAGGGTATTCCCTGCCAATCCCATGCTTCTCAGCTTCTTTCCATGGTCATAGGTGCCAGGGTGGTCCCAGACACAAACAGCCATCAGCAGGACTGTCAACCCTGGCTTTATGCCCACAGGTCAGAGACCTTGTTTCCTGGTGAAGCTTGTTCCCTGTTTCTCCTCAATATTTTTGGTTCTTGGTGGCTCTGTTCAAAGCCATTCTTGTTTTGTGAGAAGTCCTATAAAAGCCTTTTTTTTTTTCTTTTTGGTGTTGGGATGGAACTCAGATTCTCGTTCATGCCAGGCAAGTGCTCTACCACTGAGCCGTATTCTATTTAGAGACAGGGTCTCACTGAGTTGCTTAGGGCCTCACTAAGTTGCTGAGGCTGGCTTTGAATTCAGGATCCTCCTGCCTCAGCCTCCCCAGCCTCACAGGCGTGTGCCACCGCACCTGGCTGGAGCTATGCTTTTTTGACCCAGGACTGTGACCACTCCCACAGCACCTGGGCACAGCAAGGAAACAAGTGACTACAGAGAATGTATAGGGTGACGTGATCACAGCTGCTGAATCTTATCTCTGATGCCAAGTCTGTGTCTCTGGTCCTTTGAAGAACTGATATCACAAAATACTAAAGAGAAACAGCTCGAGTTGAGAAAGAAAAATATAGAATAGAAAAGACACATGGCATTCGGATGAGGTACCTTAGTTTTCTGTTTGTTGGTGAGAGGTCCCCGTATTGGTATCATCTATAGGAGGAAAAAGCAGAAACAGAATCTTCATCATGTGCATCTGTCCCGTGGACCTCTCTTTGCCCTTTAGAAAAGACAGCACTTCACTCATTCATAAGGAGGGGATTTTGTGTGACTTATTCCTGCTGTGCCTGTTGAAGTCTCTAGCAGACTCCTCAGTGAGCTGTGGCTGTAGCTTGGTGGGTACATGCTTGCCTACCATGTGCTGTGGCCCAATGACCTCCCGAGAAAAAGAGTCCTCATCTTAGACTCTGTTGACAATTTTTTTTTTTTTTTTTTTTTTTTTAGAATAGACCTTTACAAGCTGGGTTCTCACTAAGTGGCTGGGGCTGGCTTTGAACTCCAGATCCTCCTGCCTCAGCCCCCCCACGCGCTGGGATGACAGGTGTGAACCATCAAATCCGGCGTATCCTCATTCCTCCTGGGAGGTAGAGGAAGCAGACAACTCTGAAATAGCCCGGGGTCCTGTTGCCACCTTGTCCTGAGTAGGCAGACTTGAGCAACCTGCTGATTTAATCAGGCCACTTCTCTAGGATGGCTTTAGGATGATCAGATGGTTCTAGACACCTCTGTGCTATCTAGAAAGCCTGACTCTGCTGCGTGCGACCTGGCTTGGTGACCCAAGGCAAGTGATATCACTCTTTGATTCTCAGTCTTCTTATAGATAAGAAGGAATCCTGATGATACCTGGGTCATAAGGACACTTCTGGAATTGAGAGAAGCCAGTGGACTTTAGCACAGTGTCTGCTTAGAGTTAAAACTCAATAAAAGGTCATTTTGCTCCAAGGAAAAGAATAGCTTAGCGTAGCTCTTTTGAATCTAAATAGCTTGTGCCGGATTAGCGCTGTGAGTCTGATTCTAGGTGGATCTTTCTTTATGGAAACAGGACATTTGGTTGATGATGTGTCTGTGGCTATAGCTCTCACGTGATCATTGATTTCCATCCATATTTGCTGACTGGCCACAGCCTAGGAAGCAGGAAGGACACGTGCGTGAGTGGCCCCTTCTGTCTTTCCTACTTGGTGAGCCCACGTGGTTTCCTGGGCCTTCCGTGGAGCTGTGTGTGAGACTTTGGTCCCTAAGTCTGCATCCTTGAATTTGGATTTTCTTTCGCCCATGGAACAGTAGCAGCTGGCAGATCTGTTCCCCTTTCCTAATGGTGTGACCCGAAGGCAACATGCATCTCCATTTGTCACTGTGATTGGCACAGCCAGGCCCGTCCCTTGAGCATACGCATAACATCTCCCACAGTGAACTTTTCCGGTGAGCTCTGACTTTGTTTCAATAAGAGCTTTCTTGTGATGAAAAGGTACAACCGAATATTATTTAAAGGAAAGTGATTTTAGATGTTATTTTCAATTTCTGTGAAATCACAGGCAAAAGACCTTGAAAAAGACAGGAAGACCATCTCCTGTCTGCAAACAGGATTTGACCCACCTGCCTTGGGGTGATGCTACCACCTGGTTAAAAAATGACCCCAGGAGAGTCCTGACTTAACTTGGCAGGGCTCCAGGGTACAGCGTTCCTCCTGGCCTTTCAGTCCTTATCATTTCTAACCAGCTCTGGGTTTGGAAATACGTAATACTTGATGAACGTGATGACATATGCCTGTAATTCCAACGGCTGGGGAGGCTGAGGCAGGAGGATCTTGAGTTCAAAGCCAGCCTCAGCAAAAGCGAGGCCCTAAGCAACTCAGTGAGACC